CCATGGCAGGGGGGGTGGAACTGGATGATCTTTGAGGTCCCTTCCAACCCAAACCATTCTGTGGTTCTATGATTCTATGATTCTACACCCAGTCTGGTATTCAGAGAGGCCTGTGTGGCACTTGTCTAATACGCTACATGTGTTGTTCTATCAGGAAAAAAAACAGGAAAATTGTTGTGTAATCCATGTAACTTAACATTGTATTAACTGACTGAAGTGGTAATTATCGAATACTAATGAAGTATAGGAATTGAGGTTTTAATGTAGCCAAAGTGAGGATTCCCAGCAGGAAAAATTATCATGAATCCATAATTATTTTTTTTTTCAGAAAGCCATCACAAAAGTTCTTTCCAAAGAGTTACAAAAAAACTCTCTTCTCCCTAGAGGTTTCAAGGGAACAAAAAGTTTAGCTAGTCCAAAGGACCCTTTTGCTGCTGGATTTTAAAAGGGAAACAAAGACAGACACTACAAAAAGGGCAACACGAGGCTTAACCTGGTGTCTGGCTCAGCTGTTGGGAGATGGAAGATTGCCATCTGCTGGAAATCTTATTTAAACTCTAATTCATCGTTTATGCTGTATTTCCTTCGTTTTCACTTCATTTTCAACCTATGCAGCTACAGGGCTCGACAGATTTCACTGAAAACTTCTTATCAATAAGTCCTGCAATTTTAAAAGTCTCATCAAATAACAGACAAACTATAACCATTAATCAGTAATGTGTCTGATCAGGTACAAAGCAGGAATAATTTAGCATGTCTTTTATATTTTTCAAAAATGAGTGTTATTTTTGCCACAGGAAAATACATTTGGAAGTATAAGAAATACTGCGTGTCATGAAAACAAAATGACAGTACCCATTAAGTGGACAGGATTCTTGTACCTGTACAGAACAGGCAATGTCTACCAGAGCTATGAGATACTAGAATAAGAAAAGTGAGTTTTACCTTGAAACTGTGGCTTCACCTCCCAGGAGTGAGATGCAAACCCACCAAAGATATAACCATCTAAGTCCTTTAAGATCACTATGCAAGGACCTTTGTTCACTATATGCCCACATAACTGTGAAAAGCTTTCTCCGTGAAGCCTAGAAGAAAACAGAAGCCGCCACTTGTGCTGTAGCTCTGCAGGCAGATGGGAGTTGATGTATATGATGGATGGGATGTCGAAGAGACTGACAAGTCCTCTTCCTTTGATGCCTTTGCAGCCTGGAACCAGGTTGAGTATGTCTTTGGTTTGGTCTGGGAGAGAATGCAGAACGTGGAGGCCGTGCCTGATAACAACATTGAGGAAAACTGAGATCTGTGGAACTCGGTACACCCAATCCTCAATGACACTTTGATCGAAATTTGTCTCCATCAGCTGAGGACCCACAGGTTTTGTCCCATCTAAATAATAAGACACACAGGAACAGTAGTAAGTCTCCCAATCTGGAAAATAATCTTTTAAGTGTAAATATTTCATTATTTTAATGGACATGAAACCACCTATGACAGCAGCCAGCGACAGTAAAGTGTCAACTACATAAAGCAGATGCTGGATCGGCCTAAAACCATGACACCACAGAACTGAGACACATTTCCCTGTGACATCCATTGGTCGGGCTGTCATGACTAAGAAACACAGACTCCTAGCTAAAACTGATGAGATGTTCTGTGCAAGACAGCAAAATCTATTATTACAACAGTGCAAGAATAAACTTATGCTTTGTAAAAGGACATACAGTCATAAACATATGCACATGCCTCTAAACATGTGTCACCTGCAGGTCAGATATTTGTAAAATAGACATGTCCCATGACAAATAGTTTTGTATATCCACTTAAACTGGAACTTCAATCCCAAGCTCTCCTGAATTTAGAGGACAAAGATAGTAAGGTAAAATAAATAAAAATCCAAAGTCATTTGCAAAGCACTAGGTTTGAAATACTGGTCTCACCATTTAAATTCAAAGATGTGACCTGAAGAGAAAAATTCTCGTGAGATCAGTGATTACATGAGCTCTGTGCCATTCTGGGATATATTACCTCAGTGCTGCTTACCTGCAAGCTTCAATTCTGATAGCAGCTGAGAAGCCAGAGCCTTTACTCCACTTGAAGAATCCCTAGTATTCTCCAAATTCCAACCTTTCAGTTCCTTCCTGTAGCTCAGTACATGGACTACAGACATGATCAGATCCTCTGTGAACTTAAAAGGTTAAAACATCACCGTTTTGGCATTGCTTAAATAAAATTACCAAGAGTTTCAAATGACTTTCTGAAAATACAATCAATTAGTACTGAAGCTGTAATCCCAATGGCAGAAACATCTCTTCTTATGGTGAGTGAGAAATAACAGAAGTGTTATTTCAGTCTCACAAGTCTTGAAAAGTGTCCTTTTTCGAGACATTTTGTACATGTTACTTCACAAAGCATCTCCAGAACATATGGCATGAAAGGGTGGAGGAGGGGATGTTCCAAATTTTGCAGTGGTAGGAGCTGCTAGTGAATTACTGTTTTGTGAGATCCCCCTCTTCCACCTTGAAAGCTACATACTTGATTCACACATCTATCCTGCAAACAAAGCTCTAGAAAGCATTTTGCTCAGTTCCCAGAAGCACCAGCCACACCCAAACCCCTTGCTGGCCCTTAAATACAGCCAGTCTCACCCTTCAGAGTGAGCCTGTGAATCACCAGAGGAAACAGTCAGTTCACTCCTCAAAGTCCAGATCCTGGTTCTCAAAGTAGGAAAGTCGGCATGGAAAAGCCCACCGCTGAAACAGCCATCCCATCTAGCCTGGTTTGCCTATGCTGTCCCAGATCAGCAAGTCAGTGGTAAAGAGATTAAAACAATACAAAAGTCAGGAATCCCTGTTTCCAATCTTGTGCTCTAAAGATTGCCTTCAAATTGCCTACTCCAGTCTCTATTCTACTGTCCCCCCAACACACATTCAACTGCCTGTTTACCTCTTGGATTTGTTTGCCATTCACAGGCCCCTCTGTCTTGGAGATCATTCTCATTATTATGGCAACCTTCTCGTCTGCATTCCCTTTTAAGAGGTTTGACATAAAAATTACAAACTGCTCCTTGGCAATCTCTTCACTCAGCCCAGATGATTTCCCAGTCAGGTTGATACTTTTCATTCCGTTGTATATCCGAACAGTCATTGGCTCTGGTACTGGCTCCCGCATATACACCTACAACGAGAAAAACGGTAAAGAACACGTTTTAAAAATGAAGAATAACTAATATATTTCAGGAATCTGTGCTGAGATACACCGCTGTGAATGCAGGACTTCAATACCAAGTATCTACTATCAGCAACAAACTTTTGTCAAAGGACTAGTTTCCCAAGAGAAAAAAAAAATCTCTATTTTTATAGTATCTCCTTTCCAATACAGTTTAGTGATTTGACACTGTTTTTCTACAAATGCCATGGACTTTAAAAAAAAAACAACACTGTAAAGTGTTAACAGGTTATTAGCAAAGGATTTTTAGATGATAACTCTGTCGTAAAGATTTACAACTCTGCCAGCCCAACATTTAAAGTTGTATTTTAACCCTGCTTTTGATAGGGGAGCTCACAGATACTTAAAGAGAAATTAAAGTGTTTTCCATATCTCAGTTTTGGCCACAAGACAACGCAGGCAATGTGTTTAACCCTACAAGAACACGTAGAAACAATTCTGAGAAGTTTCCCTCTGCATAGCAACATCTAATTCAAGCCCAGAAAAGAAAATGAGATCATCTGATTTTCATAAGGCATCCCTGATGTTAAGACGGTTGAAATCAAAACTTCTTCATCTAAACTGCATGAAGGGCCCTTTGAACTGAAATCTAACTGATGTACATCATCACGCATCACAACACTGTGGGAAAGATCTGGATTCAAGAAACTTTTGGTGTTCAAGATAATTACATGGGTTAAAAATAAATCATATAAAATGCACCCATGCTCTGGGACATGATTACACAGTGTGTTCACGGTGCAAAGCTGAACTCCTGACTTGCCTCCTATGCACAGGGGTGTAGCCCAGCGAGGACTGCGCCAAACCCAGTGGAGCTCCACCTGCATAGAAGCCCTCCAGCTCTGTTCAGTGGAGCTGCCATTCCCAATCCACTGCTGGCTCGGCACCATGCTTACTGAAGCCACCAGCGCCGTTGCTATTTGATGTCAATGGCTGCTGCTGTGTGTATACGGTGAGATCCAATATGTCAAGCTCTACCCTGCTTTTGCTGACGTCAGTGGCAAAACTCTCATTGATCTCAGCAGAAGCAGAATTAGCAGCCACGGTCTTGCACGTTAGAGTGCTTCATGTTGAGGGAGGGATGGTCATGTGGGGTACAGCCTCTTTAAGAGGCTTTTTAAAAGTGCTGCGTGATCCTAAAGTGAGACAAGAAGCAGGGAACATGATTAAAAACACTATGCTCAAGGGCTTTTTACTTCACACTGCAGTATTGCTTACCTACTCCCTACCCTTTCACACCCACCACTAACCTGGTTGCACTGTTCTGTTATGCTTATAGCTATTTCAGCAAGTAGACCTGGGAAGGACTGTAAAAAGGGAAGTTTTAATAAATATCTAACAAACTCACACCTCTGACAGTTTAGAACCCTTGTCCTAAACAGCTTCAAGAAAGTATCTAGACATACCTGCTCTACCTGCTTTCCAAGCTATGCAGTGCAGCCTGCTCTGGTCCAGAAGCCACGTAGTTTCCTTCTAGGAAAGCACTGAGACTAAGCAGAGTACACGAGGTTATGACTGGGGCCCCATCAATGGCACCAGACTGTTGCTAGATCAAATCTGTCATACAACAACCTCAGACATGAGCATAGACACCTACAAGGCAGGCATGCCACCACAGTAGTCCTTGCACTAACGAATTAAGCACCTACAGGTGGCCTTCCAAAAGATTTTAATTTAAGTTGGCAAACAGAAAGGCAGGAAGGGAAAAGACAAACATTCATCAAACATGGCACTGATCTAGGGGCAAAGATAGAACTCCGTCCAGGTACAAATCAAATAACAGACACCAAGGACCAAGTTCTTGCTGGCATCAGGGTTGAAAGGCTGGGCAGCAGCAACACTGCTTCCAAACTGGTGACAGCTCATAAACAGCCAGGCTGGAGGAAGGCTAAAGCTAGTCTGTATGCAGATGCATTGCTAAATACCTTAAAATACTCTCCTGGAGTTTTAATTTGATTCCATTAACTGCGTAGCATGTATAAAAATGCACTTCTAACACGACATTCGTTTGGCCACTTGGTTCCTGCCTAACTGAAGGTATCAAGTATTGCCACAAATCATCTTCCTCTTCTTTCTTGATTAGAAAATGAATGCAAAGTCAATCAGAGAGCATAACGTACGTCAGTTAGCTAAAACAGGGAGCCACGGCTTAATCAAGCAAAATTGAATTCTCTCCTTTTAATGCAAGTGAAAAGATTAGAGATGGTGATGCAATTGAGCGAGAAAGATATAACCAAATATAAACTGACTTTGTGACAGCTTCTCAAGAAAATCTGTAAATAATCACACGCTGTAGATGCCAGGGGGAAGAATATTCTCGTTTTTCAGGTCTGTAAAAATATTTTCATATGTCCTAACTCACTTTAGAACCACGAAAGCTGCAAATTGACTCAAGAGTGCAATTTAAAAGATAAATACAAATCTGAAAGTCACTACTCATGTTAAACTGTAAGAAAAAGTTAAATATCCATCCTGCCCCAAAACATTAAGTATTAAATTGAGACAAGCAATCCGTAAAAAGTAACTATTGCCACATCTTTAGTTTCTTTCTGGAATTACGTTCAATGCACTACATCCCAGATAGATCAGGAATAACAGATTGTCTTGCCTGTAGTGCTGCTAGAGTCACAGTTTTCTTTGTAGCTTTGTCATTTTTTGCTCCAGCTGAATCACTCGATCCTGATAAGGTATCAAATACTCCATCAATATCAGACTGCTCCTCAGGAATAAATCTGGAAAGGTGGTTCCGATAGGCATTGCTTTCTGCATTTCCCATCTTTTCAACCTGAAGCAAAGGAAAAGGAACGAAAAAAACCAAACAAACCAGTAAACACAGGTAATCTCGATAGCCATGAAAGACATATCAAACAGATTAACATACCAGTGCAAGTTTTACAAGAGGAGCAAATTACTAGTCTTCCAGGAATCTATTATTAAAAGTACTGTTCAGTCTCTGTAGTCACTGCGACTTTATGAAGAATATCCGTGAACAGTAACTGTGCTTTAAAAAATGACAATGTGTCAGCTCTGTGCTAAAACCACCCTGTCTACCAATTCAAACCTCATTTAAGTCTTATTAAATGGAAAAACCAATATGATTTAATGATTAAATTAGCTTGTACAAAGTGACTGTGAGTCTGTCAGCTGGAATACATCAGTAACATGGAAGGACTAGCCTGATTATGGATTATTTATGACAGATTATGCTACATCTTTCTAATGCATTAATGGACTGAAGCTGTCAATAACATGTGGCATTAAAATACCATCACTGTAAAGTCTCTGAAGATGACATAATATTTTTTTTTTAAGGACACAATACAAAAATCATTCCAAAAGCTGCCAAGAAACACAGTAATGAAAATGTTTAGCAAGATGACTCAACGCCCATCAAAAATACACAGCGTTGTATGAAGTCAATAAATTGTTCAGTGCTAGTACTTACAGAATTAAAGCTGCAGGGAGGGTGTGTGTGGTTTGGGTTTTTTTGTTTGTTTTACACATTTATTAGTACAACTATGATTTCTCTCAGTGTCTCAGGATTCACCTGCACTATGGAGACTAATTCAGGGGTTTTTAGTGTTGTTTGGGCCACACGCTCTAGCCTTCTCCCTGGAGCAGGACGGCACGGCCCTAACAGTGCTACAGCAGGGCCTGAAATCCCAAATTCCACCAGGACCACAATGACAGCCACCACTAACGGCCTTCCCATCCGCCCAGGGCAGACACGCTTCTGCAGGGACAATGCAAGGACAAGACGAGAAGCAGAATAAAACACCCTTTTGTGGTTTTCTTTCCACAAATCCCACATCCTTTCTGGCACTTCACGTTTGGTTTGGGACTCCCCGTTCCACAGAAACTCCTTTTCGCAGACAGCCCTTCGGAAGGGCTCCTCGTTGAGCCCGAACCCCTCTTTCCCGACCTGACGCTGCCTTTGACAAACGCGAGGCTGGGTTGGGCTCCTTCAGCTTCACCGCCCAGCGCAGGCCCGAAAGCCGCTTCCCTGGGAGGAAGACGTCGATCGCGGGGTAAACACCAAAGGGTTAATGGGCCGCCTGCACCCCCCTCCTC